ATCGACTCAGATCTAAATCTTGAATCGATAACAAATTTGAGGAGGTCAGCGGCCGCAAGCGCGGCCGTGGATGCTTTCTCCTTTCGTTTGCCCTGGCCCGCTGACGACTTGAGTCGGTACATCAACGCCTCGCAGACTAGATCAGTAAACTCCACAGTGTTTGCGGGAGTGATCTCGCCCAACTTGGCGATCGCGGCGATGTCATGTGCTAGGAACATGATCTCTGGCGACTCTTCGTCTCCCCAAAATAGATCTTGCGCAACTCGAACGACCTGTGCTAACGCGAAACACCTACCACCCGCGCGGGTACAACGAAGAGAGTTGTTTAGCAACAATCGATCGATGTAAGCTTAAGGTCCTGTGGTGATCGCGTCGTAGCGCGTTCTGTGCGTAAAGATCTGATGATGATTAAAAATAGCGAGCCTGTTGACTCTAACTAGAGTCTACACGTCATGAGTCATAACTCATCACTTATTCAAGACTCGGGAAGGCTATACAATCATATTTAGCCCGCAACAATCCTAACATTTGTACGAGGTAAAACACAAGTTGGACTCCAACTGTTGGAGTACCCCGATCATACTGTTTACCCATACATGACGTGACCGGTTATGAATTATCAAAATTATACTAAACCCTAACCCTGAAAGGGAGATTGCTAAAATTCTCACTCAAGAAAAGGTGTGCACAACCATGACCGAGATTAGTCAAAATCCCCCCAAACGTCTGTGGTATTTAGCGAAATCCCCTGGTTGTCCTTGGTCGTGATGTTTAGGCTCGTGACTCAGATCATGATCGTGATTCTAGCCAACCTCGTTTTTTCCCCTCGACGTATTGAAGTTTCTCGTGCGTCGCTCCTTTGGAAAGTTTGAGCGCGCGAAGCGTCATACGAACGTCACCAAGTCTGAAGCACCGCCCTCTCTGTCACGATTCCCAGGACGAACGTTACGACACGAATTCACCGCAGAGCACTTCAACTGCGTTGCGGCACCAGACGAACGGTTGTTTCTTAAGTCTATGAAGATCATCATCCCAGCGTGCGGAAAAGGCGAGCGTTTTCGCGCCGCGGGCTATGATGTAGCCAAGCCTTTAATTAAGGTGTGCGGTCAGCCGATGATCGACTGCGTCGTCCAGGCGTTGCACACGAACGACGCGCTCGACGAGTACGTCGTCATCATCAACTTTGATGCAAACGACATAAACCACCCCGTCATCAAACTTGACCGGGAGACTGCTGGAGCCGCGGAAACCGTACTTCTCGCACTGCAAGCGCACGAGAGCGGCGATGTTCCCATGCTCTTGGTGGACTGCGATGCTATATATCACGGTGATATTCTCGAAAGATTCCGCGCCCTCGAGGCACAAAATGTTGTTCGCGCGGCCGTCTTATCTTTCCGCGAAGACGCCTCAGCGCTGAGCTCCAAACCGAAGTATTCCTACGTCAAGGTTGACGAGAAGAGCGATGTGATGCAAATCGCAGAAAAACTCAGAGTTGGCCCGCTCGCGAACACCGGCGCTTATTGGTTTGCCAGTTCTGCTGAGTTCGTAAGATTAGCACGGATTGTCATCGAAGAAGGACGATTTCAGCACGGCGAGGCTTATGTTTCGTGCGTAATCGACGAATATTTACGGCAAAACAAAACCGTGCGAGCGGTGATCATAAATGAAGATGAGTATTCAAACATCGGCACTCCAGATTGTCTGGAACACTATTTAAGCACACAAGGACGAGCGTTTTTGTTCGATCTTGATGGTACATTGGTAGACACGACCACCGCGTACGTCCGTGCATGGCATTCGCTGCTTGCACCAAAAGGTGCCTTTGTCGACACCGATTTCTTCAACACGCACATAAGCGGACTCGCCGACGGACAAGTAATTGAAAAGTTTAAAGTTACGATTTCGTCTGAACAAAAGGATGAAGAGTTTTTGAAGCACTTGGCGTGTGTTGAAACGATCGCCGGTTCGGCGGATTTCGTAAGAAAGTGTCAAGATATTGGTCCTGTGTACGTGGTGACCAATTCGAACAGGCGCGCCGCCGAGGCTTTGTTGGATTGCATCGACCTCGGGGACATCCCACTATTGACGGCGAGCGACGTAAAACACGGCAAACCAAATCCCGAACCGTATGCCAAAGCCATGCGCAGACTCGGTGTTTCACCCAGAAACTGTGTTGTATTTGAAGACTCCAAGAGTGGAACCACTTCTGCCCGAGCTGCCGGTGTGGGTTTCGTCATTGCTATATCGAATAATGTGAGTGGCTGCGATGCGTTTTATGAAAATTACGCTGACATCGAACCGAACGAAATCATTCAGCATCTCGAATCCGTGGCGCAACTTTCAGACGAACTGACGGAAATGTTTGGACAGCGCTCTATTGTGCATCCCGTTCGCGCAAGCGGAGGGTACATCTCTGAAGTCCTGTCGGCGAGCTGTGGTGCGCGTAAACTAGTCGTAAAACAAGAAAATAGTGATCACGGTGTCTTACAGGATGTCAGCGAGCAGTTGGCGTTGCATATGACCGAGTGTGAATTTTATAGGACATTCTCGAGTGTGGCCCCGGTACGAATACCGACTTACTATGGAGTACTATCCGATAGTAAAGCTATCGTCATGGAAGACTTGCGCAAATACAACAGAGCGCCGGAGTTCACGCTCGTGAGCGGTCTAAAAGTAGTGCAAGCCATTGCGACCCTGCATTCGCACTTTCAAGGCATGAACTTGGGAAAACTATCAGAGCACTCCGCGTACATGAAACAGCACGTCCACAGAAACTATCAACGCTTCAAAGCGCGTTGGTCAGGCACGTTGTCAGGAGAAACGATGGAACTTTTTGATCATGCTGCCAAATTTTACGAGGACGCCGAAGCACAGTTGTTGAGAAAACC